ATCTTATTTTTAGTAAAATAAATATATATATGATATAAAAATAACAATATTGTTGCGTCCGCGGGCTATTTCGATAAATCTCGAACACGCGAAACACAACTGTCACTCGCGCACCACGCCGTAAATAAAGAATACACTTTATTAGAAAGAAACTAAGGAACTTTAATAATGGAACTCAACCAAACACAGAACACAGAACAAATAATAATTATAATGTCGTAATTGGTTAATACGTCTGCACGGAATGACATCCGTCGCGAGACTCAAGATGGCGGCTTTCTTCCAAAATGTCTCCCGTTGTTGTTCAACAAACCCCCGGCAACGCGCTTGGAAACGATCTCTCGGAGACGGCATACTTCAGATACAAGGATGAAATCCAGGGACGCAACAATATAAATACAGCACAAACAAAAACAACAATTATAATTATAATACTCTGAATTGTATTTTATGTAAAATAGAAAAAAGATTTTTTAATATTAGAACATATATTTATAAGTTAGTATTATATATATATTATGAATCATATAGATGACATATGAAACATAAATACTTACTACAATATTTTATTATTTCGATTTCGTAGCGATCCCATGTGTCATAATTCGGAGATGTATAATTTGTCATCAATAAAGGAGTATTTGCAGTACGAGGTGGCCACCAGCATTCCTGAGTATTTCCTTCTTGTATAAGCCACAGCGTTGGAATTTCAGAATAAGTACAATCCGATAGGAATTTCACAACCGCGTACTTTTTATTTGTTTTTCTTCTATCAAACTCCATTCTATTCTATAAATCCACTGTATAAAACAAGAATATAGTTTAGTTTTTGGAATATGCCTTAAAAATATAAAGATCAATATTTAAACAGTGTCTTATGAAAAAAACCTGCCAAAAAATTGAAACGAAGCAAAGCATAACCAATGTGACCAAAGTCGCAATATCTATGTCTTTGTTTACATTGCTCCTCTTTTGCTTCGTTCTTTTTAAATACAATTTCTTATTTTAAATTCAATAATGAACTAATGAGCATACACCACCCAAGTAGCACATGAAGCTTTAAAACGTCTGCGATAACGTTGTCGCAACTTAAACTGCATTTATTGCCAAATAGCTGTAATTAAGGCTGGCAGGACGTTATATTAGCCACATTTTTACTGTCGCAGCGAATATAACCAGACTGTGTTACTTGGGCATATAAATTAATCTGGTTGAAACGTATGTATATTATAATAATTTATTTACAATGTTTAGAATCACCAACCATGCCGACCTTGCTATATTCATTAACAGTAATTTCTAAATTAAATTTCTTAACTATGTTAAAATACATGCAATTAATTGTGCATAAAACTATTTTTTAATATTATGCTCACCTTTCTAATTTTTGTTATTCTTCAATTTTTTAAAAATCCCCATAGATTTTGCCATTTTTACAGTATTTATCTTATAAAAACTAAGATTCAGGCAATACATATATTATTTAATCATTTTTTATATAACTATTCCGACATTAAAAAGGTAAAGAAATCAATGTGCCTCTATTTATCGTCAATCTAATTATTGGCGTGTAAAAGCGGTATCACGACAGAAGAATCAACTTTGTTATATTGTTTTAATTTTAAACATTTTCGTTTTATTCGCGTTGCTGGAACTTTTATAATATCTGAAATAGTACTGCTAGTTATCAAAAATATACATAACTTTTTTGAATCACACGGAACTGTAAAAAAAGATTGTGGATGTAAAAGACGTGCACGGATAGATAATACGCAATTATCTTGCAATATATCTAAAACATAAATAACAGAATTGTCATCAAGTAACGCGCAGTTATCGAATTTCTTTCTTGAAATTTTAAAACTATCAAACTGTAAATAAGAAATTTCATTTTTTTTATAAACAGCAATTGGATATTGCTTTATGTGACATTTATGAATCGGAAGCTGTAATTCTTCAGATATACGATTGGACAATTCCTGCAAAGGTTTTCCACATTTATGTAGTTTCTTTTTTATTTTTTGCATATAGTTTTCGTACTTGAAACAACTGAAATTATCTAAGGAACCAAAGTTTGTACATCATTAGCAAGATGAAGAATATTATGGACGTTATACGAAAAATATTTCTCATCATAAAATTCTCCATAGTGAGAAACAAACCATAATAATAAGGAATTAGCATAAGCATTGAACTTCACACATAGATACGGATCTATTAAAATCCTTATAGCAACACTAAGGCAAAGAAAGTGATTGTACAACATCGGAGATAATATTAATTTCATAATGACAATTCCAATATACAGTAAAAATTGACGAAATTCGGTGGCCTTCCATTTATCGACATCGTATAAACCTTTAGGTTTTCTTGCAAACTCAATTGGAATGTAAGGCTTCATTGATATTAAATGACTGGAAATTTTATGGACATTGTCTATTGATAATCGTACATTTTTATTTCCTTTTAACCATATTTGTAATAATCTTTTCATAACACCAAGGCAAACAAGATGCATATAGTCAAGTGGAATTTGAGACACCATGCCAATAGAAAGGTTTTCTAAAATAGAATCACCTGTGTGATGTTCAATGTGTGCACGTTTTTTAAATGTATCATTTGTACGTAAAGCATTATGGGTTTCTGAATAAATTACTCGATTATGTACAAAATCGCCTTTTTGAACACATTTTGAACATACGAAGTATCCTGTATGGCCTTTAGTACATGTTATAAAAGATCTAGCCGGAGCATCACACAAGATTGCATTGAAAGAAACTATATATTTTTTATTGGAAATAGTTATACCATTTCGATTAAGTAGGAGGAAATCATTAACAAAATCCGTAAGAAATTCATTAGGATTACTTGGTTTACGCATACCGTGATACACGCCAATTATAAATGATGATGTATAAACATTTATTTCTTCAATGGATGCCATTATGGGCCAAAACTGACTACCGGAACTTTTAGAGATAGGTAAACCATCAATATTGATGTTTAATTTTATTTTATTTTCTGTTATAAATTTGGAATATACTTTTATAGATCGCTCGAGAGCATGGAAAATACCAAAATGTGCATAATGGCCATCGCCCATAACCTTCATTTTTACAGACACGTTTCGTGGCGTGTTAACTAAACTCCTTACGTCACAAGGTAAATTTGTATTACCATGTTTTCTAAGAATTTTCAATAATTTGTTTGCAGTATAATGTGAAATATTATGTTCTATAATTAATGTTTATAAATCTTGCCACAAAGTATCAGTCTTAATAGAATGACAATCTGTATCTGTATCTGTATCTGTATCTGTATCTGTATCTGTATCTGTATCTGTATCTGTATCTGTATCTGTATCTGTATCTGTATCTGTATCTGTATCTGTATCTGTATCTGTATCTGTATCTGTATCTGTATCTGTATCTGTATCTGTATCTGTATCTGTATCTGTATCTGTATCTGTATCTGTATCTGTATCTGTATCTGTATCTGTATCTGTATCTGTATCTGTATCTGTATCTGTATCTGTATCTGTATCTGTATCTGTATCTGTATCTGTATCTGTATCTGTATCTGTATCTGTATCTGTATCTGTATCTGTATCTGTATCTGTATCTGTATCTGTATCTGTATCTGTATCTGTATCTGTATCTGTATCTGTATCTGTATCTGTATCTGTATCTGTATCTGTATCTGTATCTGTATCTGTATCTGTATCTGTATCTGTATCTGTATCTGTATCTGTATCTGTATCTGTATCTGTATCTGTATCTGTATCTGTATCTGTATCTGTATCTGTATCTGTATCTGTATCTGTATCTATATCTATATCTGTATCTGAATCTGTATCTGTATCTGAGTCCATATCTGTTAATGTAGGAATGTTGCATTGTAATACATTGTCGCTTTCTTCATTATACCGAGCTTCTATTGACAATTCATTGCATTCGTTTTCATTTTGGGACATTGTGTAAGTACTAGTACTAAGTGTGTTATTAAATTTTTCTGTATTATCAGAAGTAATGATTTCTTTAACTCTATTAGTCGAAATGTTTCTAATGTATTTTAATTCTAATGTATTTGAATATCTGTTACTATATATTTCACGATTTATCAATTGATTTTTTCGTCTTTTTGATAAATATTGTATACTTTTTGGCATGATGGGAATTTTTAAACGAACACAATTTCTAAAAAAAAAATTTTTTTATTAAAAATAATTATTGAGAACTTGCAAATTTATAACATTTTTTAAGGCTTATGATTATCACTGCGGACATGTTAAATTATGACATTAAAAAGGAGAATAACATCTGATATTTTAAAAAAACATATAAAGAATTCCTTATAGATTCTTATTTATAATAAATGACAATATAATTGAATCTAAATGCGACCAATGTTTTCAATTAAAATAGACCTTATGGCAATTGATTACAATTTGCAGTTTTATACTAATTGAAAGATCAGAAAAGAAGTCCTTTGAAGACCCTCCTCCTCCATACTTCACTAGTTTATTTTATCAAAAATAAGTATTAGCATGTGAAGAATTTTAGATGATTTTTCACTTCTGAAGTTATAATTTCATAATAGATTTGCAGTAATAATTCGCAGTAAATCAAGAGTCTTAAGGGGATCCAAAATTACCGACAAAACGCGAAAGTCGTTTCAAGTGAAAATCTTTTTTTTGGCTACACAGATTGATAAATCCTTTTCCACAGTTAAAGTATTGATAATAACGAAGGCGGGATGCTATATTTCATATAACAAATCAAAGAAAAGTTAAACAATTACAGTGTTGTTATCGACTTCTTGCGTCAAGTCGTAACAATATTTATTTAATATAAAAGTTCTGCAGTTTGTTCGTGCACAAGATATAGCTCCCCGCCTCGGGATAACATGAAGGAATATTAGTGAACTCTTAGAAATAAGTTTATTAGTCTAGTAAAAAAGATTTTTATTCGAAATGCTTTCATGCATATGTGTGCGTGCGAGATTGAGGCAAAAGAGTAAAACAGAGCAGTAGATTAGTTCTATGGGCGTATAAATCCCTAAAGACCTCTTCCTTAGCGGCTAGAGGCACAACAAGACATAGTCGTACTATCTTCGTTTCTTTCATGTGTGTGAGAGTAATATACATGTACGCACTAACATTATTGCAGTATCTTTTTTCTCTCGATCATAAGCTCTGTCTCTTTCTAATCGCTCGCTCGCTATGTACTACGTATCGCTTAGCTTTATGCTCCTCGCATATTCACTTACGCGTTCACTCGCGCTTCTCTCTCCCTCTCCCTCTCTCTCTCTCTCCCCCTCTCTCCCTCTCTCCTCCCTCTCTCCTCCTCACCCTCTCTCACACCCTTCCTCCCTCCCTCCTCCCTCTCCCTCTCCCTCTCTCTCACACTCTCTCTCTTTCTCTCTCTCTCTCTCTCTCTTTCCTTGAGAGAGAGAACAAATGAGGAGCAAGCGAGATAGCTAATATGAAAGATAGCTAATATGAGCTGGTTGTTATTTCACACTAATCATAATTACATATAATACATAATTGATTAAAAATAATCCAATTTATGTCATGTTTGATATCATTTTTTAAAATGTTTATATTTTGTACATAAGGAAAGATCGCCGATGCTATAGAATCGACAAAAGCGAGAGCAAGAAAGAATGAAGGAACAAGCGAGATGACAAACATCAAAGTGTTCCGAAGTCTCGCTCAAAAAAGATATTTCGGTGTGCAAAATAATAATCGCTTTGGTCGGTAAAACAGACGAACTTTGGATCCCTTTAAAATAATGTACCATTTCACTGAAAATAAATATAAAAATATTTTCATTATTTTTACTTACGAAAAAGAAGCAGCACAATTGCGTAGAGAAATATTAAATTTAAAGAATCGAATCAGGACCACGACGCTACGAAGTGATGATACTGCTTCAACTTCAGATAGATTACTAACGATTTTTCTTGTATTTCTTGTATTTCAATAAATTATAACTTCTGTAAATACAGAAAACAAGTATAAAAGAAAATGATTATGTCCAAGTTTGAAAAAGTACTGCAAGAGGCAAAAACACTATTACGGAAAAGAGGGCAATACATTTTATAAGTGTATTAAAATATGTTTTAACAACTTTTGCAAAATAAATTTTGTATGTTATTTAAAAATCTTTTTTTATCTTAACTTTTATTTTAACATTCCATAATACAAAAAATTTCATCTTACGTTTGAAGAGCATGAAACATAACATTGTTCTTTTTATGTGCTCCCTAGGTTATGTAACAGTTACATATTGGTTTGCTGGGACGCTACATGCGAGCGAGAGAGAACGCAAGGGGCACGTAACAGAGTATGTCTTTTTCTACGTGTATCTTTACCCCCACTCCTTAAATAAAGGCAAACGCTCGGTCTAGATATACTATGTCTATGATTTTAATTGTAATACATAAAAATTCATGAAAATCAAAATTTTGCTTTATATGACACAAGAAAAAGGGCTCCTGCAGCCCTGTGTTCCAATTCCCCACCCGGGTGCACTCGATATTATAGTATACGTGACATATACTATAATATCGGGTGCACTCGGGTGGGGAATCGGAACACAGCTCTGACTAGAGTCTCAAATAATCAAAGACGCGACATCGGGCTTCCGCACAATAAAAGGAATAAGGAACAGGAAATAGAGAACAGAGAACAACCCACAGACTTCTATATAATACTAGATTGCTAACGCGGCTATATTTCATGTAAGAACATGTGAAGCATAGACATAGTATATCTAGACCGAGCGTTTGTCTTTATTTAAGGAGTGTCTCGCTCGCACAGAGCATAGCGCTCTCTTTCGTCATGCTACGTGCGAGCGAGAGAGAACGCAAGGGGCACGAAACAGAGTATGTCCTTTTCTACGTGCACCTCGGCTCCCACTCCTCAACACTCGGTCTAGATATACTATATCTATGATGTGAAGCATGGGCAGCCATTTACAATTGGGCAGAATATTATCGATATGAATTCGATATTCGATCGATTCATGTCATTCAAACGTCATTCATTCATTTTTTAAACGTATACATTTAAAACATTTTAAAAGATAAAAATAAACTAAAAATATTAAGTGTATATATAGTGCATATATAAGAATAAAAATGCCAATGACTTGCAGCATACTTGGCTGTTCAACTAAATATTCTAAAGGAAGAAATATCAATTTTTTTTAGTAAGTACATACAACCTGTTTCTCTTATTTTCTAAGAACTAACTATATTTATGTGTTTAAATATGCATTAAATATTTAAATCAAAACTTTCATATGAAATATTGCAGCTTTCCCTTCAAAGATAAAAATCGATTGACAGCTTGGTTGAATGCAATAAACAGACAAAATTGGGCTCCCAGTAAATATGTTACAATTTGTAATAAACATTTTACTACAAATGATTATTTTCATGGTCCAGAAACTCAGAAGACATATTTAAAACCAACAGCAATACCTTCTATATTTCCTTCGTTCATAAAAATTAACAAAATAAATCAATGCAAAATCAGAAAAATAGATAATGAAAATAAGCAAAATGAGGTAGATAATATAGGTAAAAGTGACGTTTAGGGGATGCAGCCGCGATGACCTTGACCTTGACATATCAAGGTCACCCTCCTGAATGACCTTCAGAAGGTTTTAACCGTCGCTCGTTTTTTATTAAAAGTTATTAACTAAAATATTATTTATTGAATGTCTGAAATAAATAAATACATGGATGGACAGAGGAATTGTAAAGGTAGAGAAAAATTAAATTAGAAATAGGTTTGGGTTAGGTTATTTCTTCCGGAAGTAGAGCCCCCCCGTAGGGAGGGCGGAACTCACTGTTTTATGCATACACTTTTTAATGCAAAGTGAGGTTTTATACGCAAAGCGAGATTCAACTCATGTACAACCCATGTAGAATCTCACTTTGCTTTAAAAAGTGTATGCATGGACACAGTAGGTTCCTCCTCCCCCCTACGGGGGGGCTCCACTATCAAAGAACTTGTGGGAGCGATATAGTTAAATAACTAGACTTCGGTAATATAATAATGTTACATAATTTGTCGTATGTTTAATATGTTGTTATGTAAAGTGTTAAATCAATAAATGAAATGTGTGAAAATGGTTACAAATATATTTCATGGAAGTTGGTAACAAAATGATCTTGAATTTAGCCGCAGGAACGCCACAGTACTCCTCTCCCAGCGACGTTCTACTTTGCGAATTTAACTTTTTTCTTTGGGCCAGATTATGTTTTGAGGTGTTTTCCGAGTGTAGTTGATTGAAGTGAATTAGAAGAAGAAGGAGACGTCATGACAATGAAATCATTGCTGGTTTCTTTCGGTAGGAAGGCTGGTTTAAGACGTTCTGTGGTGATATTAACAATTTTTCCTGAAACATCGATTGCAAATAAATTATCATTAATTCTATTAACAACGCGAAAAGGACCAGAATAAGGAGGTTAAAGAGATTTTCTAACTGCATCTTCACGAAGCCAAACGTGAGTACAATCATATAAATTTTTATGAAAGAAAGGTGTTTTTTTGTGGTGATGTGCAATAGGTCTTGATTTGATCTCTCTCATATGTATCCTATGTTTTTCAATGAAAATTTCAGGATCAGATGGAAGATCCTCTTCAATGAAAAACTCTCCAGGAATTCTTAATGCAGATCCATAAAGCATTTCCGCAGGAGATGCATTCAAATCTTCTTTAAAGCAACTACGAAGTCCAAGTAAAACAGTTGGCAAAATCTTAATCCAATTTTCATTTGCGTGACACATAATAGCACTCTTCAATGTACGGTGTCATCGTTCCAGGATGCCATTGGAAGCCGGATGATAAGCTGAGGTTCTAATTTCCTCGCAACCAATTAGGTTGGTGAGAGCCTTAAATAATGCAGCTTCAAATTGAGGACCTTGATCGGTTATGATCGTCTGATGAGCACCATACCTCGCAACCCAGTGCGTATAAAAAGCTGTAGAAACAGTATCAGCTGAAATTTCAGTAAGAGGGATTGCTTCCGGCCATCTAGAAAATCTGTCAATCATGGTTAAACAATAACGAAAATTTTGACAAATAGGAAGAGGTCCAATCAAATCTAGATGAATATGCTGAAAACGCTGATCTGGAATAGCAATCTTTTGAGGAAGATTCTTGGTATGCTTTTGGATCTTGGCACGTTGACAAGGCAAACACAATCGAGCCCATTCTTTTATATCTTTCTTCATAGTTGGCCAAATAAATTTTTGTTGTATTAGTTTGCAGGTAGAACGACCACTTGGATCAGATAAACCATGAACAACATTCAAAATTTGTCTACGAAGCTGTTGAGGTACATAAGGACGAATATTAACGGTAAAGCAGTCACAGAAAATAGGCGTAGTCGAGCCAGTAAGTATAAGTTTTTGAAGCTTGAGAGAAGATCGATGTTTGTTGAAAATTGAGAAATGAAATCAAGATGTCGGATCTGTCTGGGTGAAGCTTTATCTAATTTTTGTTGAAAAGCATAAATTAAATTTATGCTTTTTGTTTATGATCTGTCCGAATAAGAATCTGACGTCCTTCAAGTATGTACCTGAAATATTTAATGGCTAAATAAATACCAAGAAGTTCACGATCGTAAGTACTATAATTACGTTGAGTGTCATCCAATTTCTTTGAGAAAAATGCAATTGGTTTATTAATCCCATCGATTATTTGTTCTAAAGATGCATCAACTGCAAAATCCGATGCGTCACAAGTGAGGATAAGAGGTACAGTTGAAGCCGGATGTGCTAAAGTTGTGACTCGTAAGAGTTCTTCTTTGCAATTTTTGAAAGCTTCTTCAGCTTTAAAAGTCCAAGTGACTAATCTTTTATCCATTTTCCTGCTATCCTTAAGATAATCCGTAAGAACTGCCTGATTTGATGTAGCATTTTTTAGACAACGACGGTAAAAGTCGATAATTCCTATAAATCTTCTTAATTCATGAATTGTTTTAGGTTTTTTATAATCAATTATGGCTTTAACCTTTTCAGATGTCGGTTTAATTCCTTGCTTGGAAACTAAATAATCAAGAAAAGAAATTTCACCCTTACCAAAAAGACATTTGGACAAATTAATCGTCATGCCGAATTGTTTAAACCGAGTAAACACAGTATGAAGATGTTTGGCATGTTTTTTCTCATTTACAAAAGCAATTAAGATATCGTCAAGATAACAGACACAAAAATCAAGTCCAGATAATATGATGTTCATAAGACGTTGAAAAGTTTGAGCAGCATTACGCAAACCGAAAGGCATTACGCAAGAAATTCAAAAAAGCCGAATGGAGTAGTAACAGCTGTTTTGGGTATGTCCTCTTTTGCAACTGGCACTTGGTAATAGGCTTTAACTAAATCAATCTTTGAAAATATATTTTTACCGTGTAAACCAGCAGTGAAATCTTGAATGTGAGGAAGCGGGTATCGATCCGGAACGGTGGCTGCATTTAAAGCTCGATAATCACCGCAAAGTCTCATGAGTTCGGTCCGTTTTTGGGAACCATGTGAAGTGGAGCTGCCCAGGTGCTGCTTGACGGTCTACAAATTCCTGTTCCACCATAAAATTAAATTCGTCCCTTGCAAATTTTAATTTTTCTGGTGACAATCTGCGAGGAGTTGAAGCAATTAGTGGTCCTTTTGTAATAATATGATGCTCATTTTGATGAATCTTGGTTGTTGATATAGGAGCAAAATGAGTTAGTTCAGGAAACTCAGCAAGAATCTTATGGAAATGTAGTGCAAATTGATAAGTAATTAACTTTAGATAGTTTTCCTTTAAATGAAAGACCGGTAACACTAACAAGAAGTTTTTTATTTTTAATGTTGTAACGGTTCACCTTTCCCGTACGCCGCGGATCAAGGCTCGCCGGTGCCAGGATTCGGGAGAAGGGGGGAACTCCAACTTACTGTGCCTCGTATAAGCGGTTTAAATAATTAGGTTTATTCAAAAAGATATTTAACACTGAAAGCTATGCGAAGCAACATGCGGGTACGGTGTGTACAGAGTTTTGCGCGGGAGCGGTTGTTATTCGCAAGGTGACGTGCAAGCACGGTGCGTACAGAGTTTCGCGCATGAGCTCGGGAAGCGAGCGTGGCTTAAGCGGCCGTGTTCTGCAGTCGCGGTGGTC